TAAAAGCATAAAAACAAGACGTTTAAGGACACTAACTAACTGTTAATGCATTTAAAACTAAACATTTGATTTAGTCAGTTTTTGCTATACAATATCACAAGATAACAAGAATATATTTAACCAGATTTATAAGTAGAATAATAAATATAGTATGGAGAGTAAAACAGCTCATATGGCTTATTTCTATGACTATAAGCCATGTGAGAGAAATAAACAGGTTTTTATTTCTCTCACATGGCTTTAAACTTAAATATCATTAAACAGAGGAGGATTTTTTTAGCAACACAAATCTAAATACCTTTAAACCAGATAATCTACATATTGGGATCCGTAGATCAGTGTTCTCGAACCCTGATCCACTTATGGGGCGCGGCCTTCATGATTCAGCACCCCAGATTTCAGCTGATGACTTATTACCAGGCCTGTTACAGTGAGAAGCATCTGAAACATGCAGGACAGACATAAAGAAAATGCACTTTTATGGTGTTTAGTTTAAGATTACATGAGGAAAAATAATAACTTCCACAGTTAAATTCCTCATATTTCGCCCTAAATATCTATAAGACTTACTTGAAGCCACCTGCTCTATAAAAACTTTTTCCACTTACAATGACTGATAAATTAACCTCATACTAAATTCAAATATTCGTTTTTGTATTATTGATTAGCGCATTTGCTGATATTTTAAAGCATGCTGTCCCTTTTTGTGATCGTGGCGCCATATTTTTTGATGTACAGCTCTGAGAATTCAAAGACAAGCAGGATTTGGCTCCTTTTCTTGTTTTCTTTTTAATACAGAAACAACAACAGTCACAATCAATCTGGATCGATTTCCGCTGCACACACGTCTGATTTGTTCGCTGATGTATTTTGTGAAAAGCACAGGGAATCATGTGTTCTTGTTGGATTTATGAAGCATAACGTTTTGTTTTGTTGGTTAAAAGGTGTAAATTTAACTCATTTTCCTGATGAAAGATTTTCTCCATTAAAGATGAATTGGGTGCTGTACTTAATTGAAACTCCCCCTCCCACTGCTGTGAAGGATGGACTGCATGTTACTGGAGTGATGCTGTAAAGTTCTGACGCCTTGTTCCTGTACATATTTCTGAGCTTTATCCCGTCTGTGATCATGATGCTGATTTTTAATTCCAATTTTGTTAACGTGAGCAATAAAGTTCTTTTTTCTGCTGTGGTTTGTAATTTAGCCGTATGTTCTCTGTAATTATATTGCAATTAATTAAAGGAAATTCACAACTAGTTATGTCAGTTATGTTATATGTCAGCCTAAATATGTTTTAATTTGTGATACAAAAAAACTCATAATTACTTCAAGAATTAAATATCCTTTTGTTGTGGCCTTCTGTTCCAAAAAATACCAACATTTCCAACAAAGATGGCTGGTAACGGGTGGTTTTTGGTTTTGTACGCACTTCTGACTTGACTTATTTATTGTAAAAGCAAAGACAAAACAATTATGACAAAATAGAGAAATTTGAAAAAATAACATTAATTTATTAGACAAAATAAAAATGTCTTGCAACTTAACCCTTTAAAGCCCGACCCAACAATAAAACAAAACAGAAAATTACTTTTTTTTGGTTTGAATTCCTTAT